TGGTGATCGTTTTCTGATTCCTTGTTTCGCCGATCGGCGCTTGCCCTCGCACCCCCCCCTCCCTGCCCCCCCATGGAGTAGATCTTGGCTGGTGTGGGCGCCTGTTTCGAGCAGGCGAAGCCTTGCCCCCATGGGACGCACTGCTGCAAACAGCAGCATTAAGCAGAGGTCCGGAGCCACACACACACACACACACACACACACACACCTCCCCCCCTTTCCACCCAATGTCGAAACGCCAAGTAAGAAAACGCTCACCTGGAGATGTTTGGGGGTGGGCCGTTTTCGAGCTCCTGGGGCTGTCGACGGGCCCTCGGGCCGTCAAAGAACATCTCGGGACGAAGGCTTGGTCCCAAGGGAGAGCCCAGGGGTCCAGGGCCCCAGGGGAAGGCCCAGGGGCAGGGCCCGTGTCCGTCAGGGCCCGCCTCCTTCCCCAGTGCTACTCTTAGGTTGGGCCTGTCCCCCTGCCGGAGGCTTTTGGGCCTTGCTGAAAGGGCCGCCCCCTCCTCCTCCTCCTCCTCCTCCTTCTCCTCCTCCTTCTCCGCCTCCTCCTTCTCCTCCTCCCTCCTCCTCCCTCCTCCTCCTCCTCCTCCTCCTCCTCCTCCTCCTCCTCCTCCTCCTCCTCCTCCTCCTCCTCATCCTCCTCCTCCTCCTCCTCCTCCTCCTCCTCCTCCTCCTCCTCCTCCTCCTCCTCCTCCTCCCTCTCCTCCCCCTCCTCCTCCTCCTCCTCCTCCTCCTCCTCCTCCTCCTCCTCCTCATCATCATCCTCCTCCTCATCCTCCTCCTCCTCATCCTCCTACCCCTCCTCCCGGAGGAGACCGGGTCTAGGCTAGTCTAGAATGAAAAAGGCCTCCTAGATGGGGTCGGAACAGATGGGGCCGGAGGATCGCCGACGCATCGCCGACGCACCGCCGATACGGTGCGATGTGGAGCCAGATTGTCTCCGCGCTGGCGCCGCCGATGCACCTCCGATGCAGCCCCGAGGCATCGCCGATCCTCCGACCCCATCTGCTCCGACCCCATCTGGGAGGCCTTTTATTGGCAGAGCCACCAGCAGGGGGTCAGGCTCAGCAGGGACGCGTGGACCCCCCCTGCCTCATGTCGTTGACGAGAGAGACCTGCTAGCCGACACCCTCGCCCAAGAACATGCGGCCTCGCCATCCCATCGAGACTTACCGCCGATCTATCGGCGACCCATCGCCGACTCAAGCTCGACGCCTCCGCCCCTTGAGCCAGTGCCCGCGTTTCGCTCCCCCTCCCTCCTAGAAGGCCCCCCGCCCTCTCTCAGAGGGTGAATTGCCTACCCCGCTCTCGCTCCCAGGCAGAACCAAGCCATACCGCGCGCCTCCTCGTCAAGCAGCCCTGCCCTTGCGGGCTGCCCCCGTGGGCAGGTTTCGGTATGGCTTGGCTCCCGCTTGGAAGCGAGGGTGGTCAAAAGCGAGGCAGGCTCGTCCGCCTCGTACCATCCGGGCGCTGCAGCAGGGACCACTCTGGGCTCAGAAGGGGCTCTGGCTTTCGACCCCCCCCCCTCGGGCGAAGAGAATTATGCACATGCACCGATCCTGGCAAGGCCCATCCTTGACCCATGATCGGTGCATATGCCTTCCTGGCCAAGGTAGGAGGTCGTATGCCCCGATCCTGGGCTCAGGATGGGCCTGGCCAGAGTCGGTGTATGTGTATAGTTCTTTGTCCTTTACCCCCTCCCTCCAATGCGCCGCCCCTGTCGTGCGCGCGCCACGCCCCTTGCTACGCCGGGCGCTCCACCGGGCGCACCGACCCCGCCCCGCCGCGACGGCGGGGCGCGCGCGCGCGAGGGCCGCGCAGCCTCATCATCGGCAGCAGCAGAAGCATTATCATCAGCAGCAGCAATACCAGCATCCTCGTCGTCATCGCGATCCGCATCATCATCATCGCCATCCGCATCAGAAGCACACGCTTCATCACAATCATCATCACAGTAATCGGCATCGTCGTCATCAGCACCATCATTATCCCAGTGCGACCCTACCTAGGAGTTGGAGCATTTAGGAAAGCAACATCTACATCTACACCGACAGCTACATTTGCATCTACACCTGCATCTACATCTACATCTACATCAACAGCGAGACTCACATCTACATCTACACCTACATCTACATCTACATCTACATCCACATCTACACCTACACCTACATCTACATCTGCATCTACACTTTCGCATTGGTTTTGCTTTTGCTTTGCATTGCCTTTGCTTTTGCTCTTGCCTTGACTTTTGCCTTTGCCTTTGCTTTTGCTGTGACTTTGCTTTTGTTGTTTGCTTTTGATTGATATTGTTCTTGCTTTGCCTGCGCACAGACACACACACACGCATGTTTTCGCATTCGCACACTGGGTAAGCTATGCTAAGTTAAGCTAAGCTAGGCTAAGCTAAGCTAAGATGAGATGAGATAAGCTAAGCTAAACTAGGCTAGGCAAAGCTAAGCTAAGCTAAAAGCTAAGCTAAGCTTAGCTCAGCTAAGCTAAGCTGGGTGAACCCAGGGGGCGCAACTGGGGGAACCGCGGGGCGGATACTGGGGGAACCGCCCGGGGCGCTTTCCACTGCCCGGCCCCTTCAAGCCCAGAGAGTAAGAACCCTTCTAGGCAGAGCCTAGGTAGGGAACTATTAACATCATTGCGATCAAAGAATCAGCATCGGCAGTATCATCATCATCAGCATCACCATCGTTATCCTCATCATCACCATCATCCTCCTCCTCCACATCATCCTCATCATCATCAGCATCCGCATCATCGTCATCATCATCAGCAGCATCATCATCCTCACCCTCAGCCTCAACCTCATCATCATCCTCATCATCCTCCTACTCCTCAAGCCCTGCTGGTGCTGCTGCTGTGACGATGCCAGTCCTCACCCTGCTCCTCCTCGAAGTCTCGACGTCGCCGACTTGTCTGCCTGTCCGGCTGGACCCCTTCCACCCGGCGGTCTCCGAGGGGAGAGGGACGTAAAAAGTAGGCCAAGAGGTAAAGATCGGGCCGGGCGAAAGGGGGGGATGGGGAAAGGGGGGGTTACGAAATCTGCTGCATGCAGCTGGTTTCGGCCCCACCGAGGGGCCAAGTCCTCGATACATAGCCGCCTCCGGCTGCGGGAGGCGCCGGGAAAATCCCTCCTCCTCCTCCTCCTCCTCCTCCTCCTCCTCCTCCTCCTCCTCCTCCTCCTCCTCCTCAATCAATCATCATCATCATCATCATCATCATCATCATCATCATCATCATCATCATCATCATCATCATCATCATCATCATCATCACCACCACCACCTCTGCTATCCCCCCCTTTCGCCCGGCCCGAAAAGAGAGAAGAGAGGGAGCAACCACCTCGGCACGTCTCTCTGGGAGCGAGGCCACCGCGCTCCTCCTACTCCTCCTCCTCCTCCTCCTCGGGCGCAGGCGCGGTCGGCACCGACCGTCCCCAGGGGCTCGCTCCTCCTCCTCGTCCTCCTCCTCCTCCTCCTCCTCCTCCTCCTCTTCCTCCTCCTCCATCTCCATCTCCTCACCCTGTCCTCCTCTGCCTCCTCCTCCTCCTCCTCCTCCTTCTCCTCCTCCTCCATCTCCTCATCCCTGTCCTCATCTGCCTCCTCCTCCTCCTCCCCCTCCTCCTCCTCCTCCTCTTCCTCCTCCTCCTCTTTCACCTCCTCCTCCTCCTCCGTCTCCTCCTCCCCCTCCTCCTCCATTCCTTCTCCTTATAAATAACCTCTCCCTGTCGCAACCCGGGCCAGTTATTAGGGCGGGCCGGACGTTTCGCCTTCGACTTCCTCACCATTAGTGACTCTGAAATTTATTCTGTGACCGCATTTCCACAGATGGAGGGCAGGTCGCTTTCAATATGGGGATCTCGCCTTAGCGCCGCGCACACTCGTTTTAAAAATTGCAAGAGCTTCACGGATTGAGGGCGGGTCGTTTTCGATATGTGGTTCTCGCCTTAGCGCCGCGCACACTCGTTTTTAAAAATTGCAAGAGCTTCAGGGATTGAGGGCGGGTTGTTTTCGAAATTGGGTTATTGCTTGAGCGCCGCGCACGCTCGTCTTAAGAATTTGCAAGGACTTCCCGGATTGAGGGCGGGTCGTTTTCGAAATAAGGTTTTCGCTTTAGCGCCGCGCACACTTGTTTTAAAAATTTGCCAGAGCTTCACGGATTGAAGGCTGGTCGTTTTCGATATGTGGTTCTCGCCTTAGCGCCGCGCACACTCGTTTTAAAAAATGCAAGAGCTTCAGGGATTGAGGGCGGGTTGTTTTCGAAATTGGGTTATTGCTTGAGCGCCGCGCACGCTCGTCTTAAGAATTTGCAAGAACTTCACAGATTGAGGGCGGGTCGTTTTCGAAATGAGGTTCTCGCTTTAGCGCCGCGCACACTTGTTTTAAACATTCCCCAGAGCTTCACGGATTGAGGGCGGGTCGTTTTCGATATGTGGTTCTCGCCTTAGCGCCGCGCACAGTTGTTTTAAAACATTGCGAGAGCTTCAGGGATTGAGGGCGGTTCCTTTTCAAAATGTGACTCTCGCTGTAGCGCCGCGCAGATTGCCATGATCAATGTACGAGAAATGGCGTTTTGGAAGGATTCCGGATTATGCGGGCGCAGCAGTTATGTTGATTCGCTGTGTTGAAACCCCAAAAATGACGTTACGGCACGATTCCGAATCGTCAAGACGCAGCAGTCAGGTTGGCACGTGGCGTTGAAATCCCGAGAGCAATGTCTTGGCACGCTTCAGGATCTACACACGGTTGTCTTCCAACGAGGCAGCTCACTCAATGGAAATGAACCGTTGTAGGGGCCTACGAAGAGGGAGTTTGGAGGGAGAGTTCATTCCAACATCGTTGATGACTCTTGGGTTTACACTGGTCCTCCTCCTCCTCCTCCTCCTCCTCCTCCTCCTCCTCCTCGTCGCGGAGCCGACCGATCGCTCAGCCCCGCGGCCGCTGCGAGGCCCACCGCTGCTAGGCCCTTTTGCGGGGTCCGCCGAGGCCCGTCGAGCAGGGCGCCTTCTTGGTCGCGCACTACGCCGGCGACGTCGAGTACGAGCGGCAGGGCTGGCTGGACGGTAACGACGCGCAGCCGCTGCCGGATGCGCGGGCGGCGGTGAAGTGTTCACATCGACTACACGTACGGGTGACCTTTCGCCAGAGTGACCTCTGGTGCGGGCACAGTGGGTCCCCAGGTGGCTGATCGCGAGGCGGCAGTAGCAGCTTGCGCACACAGTGTTGGCCACCCCGCGTCCCCCGTCAAGCCGCGCACCAAAGGTCACTCTTACACAGGGTCACTCTTGTGTGTACCCGTTCACAGATCCCGAGATCCTGGCGTCGTATTTTGTTTCTACGCCGGGCGAGGTTGCTTCGTCCCGCGCCCAGGGAGCCTCCCGCGGAAAGATGGGGTACATGGATTGGTTCGGTTTTCGAACCTGGACCGCCCGCTGAGCGCAGCCATCCAGCTTCTGGACAGGAAGACCGCCAGAAGCCGCCGAAGACTGCGGGAGACAGCCAGATGACCACCCAGGGCCGATGTGCCACCAGGGGTCCATGATCGGAGGCGTGCACCCTGGTCTCTTTGTCCGGGAGGGAGGAGAGGGACGGACGGGCAGGGGCGGGGCATAGAGTAAGGAGGAGGAGGAGGACGACGAGCCATTTTCGCATTTTGCAGCACCCAGCTTCATGATCCTTTGTTTTCTTATCTCCGCTTCCCCACCTGTCTGTCTGTCCCTCTCATATCTTAACCTCTACACGTAAAAATGAGTGCGTCGCCGAAGTCCCCTGGAGCGGTGCTCCAGGGGTCACCTGGCCCGAGTTTGATCAGGCTGCGATCGTGGATCTCTCCGGCCACCAGGGGGCGGGCAAGAGGCAGGCAGGGAAGCGAAAGGGGAAGGGCAGCGGCCAGCGGCAGGGGAGGGGGAGGGGAGAGAGATGGCAGGCGCAGTGCGGAGGCCACGGGGAGGAGCAGCAGGAGGAGGAGGAGGAGTAGGAGGAGTAGGAGGAGGAGGGGGTGGAGGAGGAGGCGGAGAAGGAGGGAGGAGGAGGAGAGAGAGGAGGAGAGGAGGAGAAGGGGGGAGGA